GACATCATTGTTAATATCGTTGTATATGTATAATGGTGATATCCTGGTTGCGAAATTTTTGTGCAGCTCATGAAGAATCTTTATGTACTGAGTAGGGACTGCTTGACTATCAAGGGCTTCCATGACTGCTTCTATCTCAGCTGAATCAAAGGCCTTCTGCAAATCGATGAAAGTGAGACAGATCAGTCTTCTGTACTCTCGCGATACTTCAATGAGTCATCGTGTGGATGTGGTCCATCGTGCTAAATCCTTTTCGGAACCCTGCTTGCTCACATGGCTGTCCCTCGTCCAGTGTTCTGTTAATCCTGTTTAGAATGCTCGAGTGAAAGTTTGTAGACGACAGGTAGCAAGCAGATTGGGCGATAATTACCGATACCATGTAGGTCACCCTTCTTGAGCGCTAACACCGTCTTGCTGGTTTTCCACTGAGTAAGAGACCTCGCATTTAGACAGGTAACGTGTAAAAAGCCGAGCCAGTGTGTTTACGAGGACTGGCGGAAGTTCATTTAGGTGTTCTGGTCTTATCCTGTTCGGATCTGGTGCTGTTCGATGTTTCTCCGACGAAATGGCATGTCGAATTTCGGAGGGGAGAACCGGTGGCACAACATATCCACCGTCCTTTATTTCACATGACGGAAGGTGGACGAGGCTATCGAAGAGATTAGAGTAGTATTCGTGAATAATTTTTTCCATTGCTTTTCTGGACGCTGTAACTGCTCCGCCTGCGAGCCGGAGAGCAATCATTTTGGTCTTGTAATTCGCGAAACTTCGGTGGGCTTTGCGTATGCTTTTCCCAGTCTTTACAGCTTTGACCATTGCTGCTGCTCTTCTCTTTTTAAGATCTCTTTTTATCGCTTTCCTGGTTTGTTTTACAAGTTCGGACGTTACTTCGCAGTTACCTGCGGTTCCTGCCATTCCACGCTGACATGTCAGCTCGAGCGTTTCTGGAAACAAACGTCTCTTGGTGGCTTTTGAACTGCCAGCTTTCATAGCACTGACGTGAAGATGTTGAATAAGCCGATCGTATTCTTCGTCGATGTTATCGACAACGGCATGTTTCCAACAGCCGACTAATGAATTGAGTAAATCCCAGTTTACGGTGGTTCTGCGACTTCGCTTTTGTAATTTAGCGGCTTTTTCTCCTTTCCGCTAGAAATAGAATCTTGCACGAAGGCGACGTTGGTCTAATCCCGTGTAGAATTTTGGGACAACAGCGACATCGGTTAAATAAAACCTTCTATTTACTATGATGTGGCCTATTTCATCATGGTACTCTCCATTGCGAGACTCCCACGTCCAGCGCTGAGGGTGGGGCTTCTGGAGTTGCCAGTTACCATGGATTGTTTTGGTCGCCATGATGAACTCAGACAGCCGCTCACCCTCTCCGTTCCATTCTAATCCTAGGGTCCCAATGTGACTTTCGTCAGGCGTTCTTCCTTACCAATCTTGGCGTTCAAATCTCCAGTGATGACCTTTAAAAATGTGTGGTCTTCTCTGTAGAACTTCTCCAAATCCATATAGAACTCTTCGACTTCCTCTTCGTCATAGTTTGATGTCGGTGCGTAAACGATGGAGATTGTCCAAGCCGTAATTGATCCACGTCTTTTTAATCGTAAACGTCTGATTCGCGTTGTAAGTTGTTCGAATGAATCGATGTTCATGGACAAACTCGTGTTGACGAGAACGCCGGCGCTGCCTACTCCTCTGTTGTCGTGTGTTCCGAGGAACAGTTCTTCTTCGGTGTCATGGCCGTCGTTGAAAGGCTGGCGTCTTCTCGTCTCGGCCAGGCCGTTGATGTCGTACTTCCTTCTTGCTTGCATGAGCAAGTCTTCTATCGAGGACTCGGATGCAAGTGTACGTGCATTGTAGGTACAGAACGTTACCATAGTTCTTCCTGATCCGGACAGGTTCCATTGGTCCTGAGATTTATGCAGCCTCTCCTCATTCGTCCTACCTAACAATGCGAAATTGGGAGCTCAGGGTCAGGTGAATGAGACCCGTTCTTTTTTTTTTTAACCGTTTTTAGCTTTTTTGATATCCATGTATAGGTTGCTGGGCTCTGAACGTGGGAGCTGGGTATACTCACGGGTAGCTTGCCAGGCTCTCTCTGAGTGGGAGCTTGTTTGTTGGAGGCGATTCCTAACCGCCTCCAATATACTTCCCTGTCGCTTGATTGCAGGCTTTTGGCCGAATTGACTCGTAGAATACAACCCGAAAAAGCAAGAACGCGCCCACACACGCATGCATGAATACGCCTAGCCAATAGAGAAACTATGTGCCAAATCAGCGCAGCAGAAACAGGGAGTCCATGCCTTGGACCCACCTGCGTCTCAAGGAAGGAAATGTCGCTTTTGGTCTGCGATTAACCCCCTATCCGCCACCTGGGGACGCGCCACGTAGCCTCGCGCCTAACCGGCCCGAGATCCCTCATATGAGGGAGTTCCGTGGATTCGGAGATATTCATCCCTTGAACGTGAATGGGGTGTGCTAAGCCGATGCTTTCTTCAAGAGCACCGTTTTGGTGAAATTTATCTTTCATTTGGGTCTTTCCAGTCTTTCCAAGCGCTTTGTTAAAGTTGGCCGATATCGTTTCTTCTGGCTAATGCTTGGTGTTACAAGATTTTTAGCACTGGCCAGGCGAAGAAGGTATAATTGCCGGGCATCGATTTTCACTCCCTAGGTTGTTCCATTCCAATGTTCGCATGATACTCTCGAGGGTAGCAGTAAATAATTTTATGGTATCGGCTTGGATACCTGCTCTCTTTATCTCGGTGTCAATAGCTTTATAGGAGAGTATTATTTTTATGTAACTCACGAAGAATCATTGTATACTGAGCAGGAACCCCTGATTGTTAAGAACTTCTATGAATGCTTTTGTCTGAATTGAGTCGGTATTCCTGTTGTACCCTCACGATATTTCAATAAATTTTTTATCGGTGTATATGGTTTATCGTGCCTAATTTTTCTGAAACCCTTCTTGCTCACATCACTGTCTTTCGTCCACTGTTTTGTCAATCCTATTCAGGACGACTTGGGTGAAGAGTTTATAGCGGTAGGCACCAAGAAGATTGGACGATGATTGCCGATATCGTGGAGGTCACCATTCTTAAACAATAGCAAGGTTTTGCTGGTCTTCCACAAGGTAGAAACTTGCATTCCGACAGCTAGGGTGTGAAGAGCCGAGTCAATGTGTTTTTGAAACCAGGCGGAACGTTCTTCAGGTGTTCAGGTTTTAATATGGTCCAGACCAGGTGTTGTTCGATTTTCGTCCAACGAAATAGCATGTCAGATTTGGGAAGGGATAGCCGGTGGTACGATATACCCATCATCCTTTATTTCATATGAGGACAGGAGGGCATAGCTATTTAGGAGATCCCTGTAGTAATCGTGAATATTTTCCTATATTACCTTTCTGGAACCTGTAACTGTTTCGGCTTGGTGTCAGAGTGCAATCATCTTGGTTTTGTAATTGGCGAAGTCCGATGGGCTTTGCGAGTGCTCTTCCCAGCCTCTACACCTTCTATAGCTGCTGCTCTTTTTCTTCATGATCTCCTTTTATCGTCTGTTTCTGTTGTTTTTCATGGCTCACGCGATTCCACACTGGCGCATCAGCTTGAATCTTTCTGGAGACAAACTTTTCTTGGTAACTTTCGTACTCTGAGCTTTCATAGCCCTAACGTGAAGTTGGTTAATGAGTTGATCGTATTCTTCTTCGATGTTATCAATAACGGCGTCTTGCCTAGAGCCGGCTAATAATCTGAATAAATGTCGGCTTAGAGTAGCTTTCGGATTTTTCGGATCCTTTTTTTAAACTTCGCGGCTCTCTCCTTTCTACGAAAAACGGAGTTTTACGCGGAGTCGGTGGTCTGATCACACCTAGAGTTTCAGGACAACAACGACAACGCTCAGGCAAAATTCGTTTTACGATGCTATTCTTTTTTCGATCTGGTGCTCTTTTTTGGGAGACCTCCACTTCCACCGTTGGGTGTGGAGCTTCTGGAATTCTGAGTTACTATGAATGGTCTTGGTCGTCATGGTAAAGTCAGACAGCCGCTCACGCTGCTCGTTTCACTCTAATCCGCGGGTCTCAATGTACCTTTTTCAGGTGTTCTTTTGGGTCGAATTATAGCGTTGAGATTTCAATGATGACCTTGAGCAGTGTATAGTTTATCTGTAGAACTTCTGCAAGTCCATTTAGAGCACTTTGATTTCGTATCATCATAGTTTGGTGTCGATGCGTAGAGGAGAAGAAAGATTATTAGGCTAGATATTGATCTACATCCAACCGATTAGGGCTGTTATTTGTTCGAATGAATTGATGTTGATGGCCAGACTCGTGTTGACGAGAGCGCCGACGCCCCTATCCACCACCGAAGATGCGCCACATGATCTCTCGACTGAGGATTCCCTCTATGAGGAAAATCTGTTGAAGTATGACAACACTAAAGCTAAATTTTTTTTCTGTTAGTCAACGAACGCAATGAATCTTGCTGGAATTTAATTCGTTTGAGCGTAACAATCAGGACGGTCTACACAAAACGAAGCAGACGATTTTCAGTGATTCTATTCAAAAAGCGCATTGAAACAAATACAATGAATGAGCCGAATATTTTCAAATCATATTATTGCATATTATTTTCAGCGCATCAGTTAGAATTATTGCTTTGACAGCAATAGAAAAGTCAGCAAAGACCGATAGATTCCTATCTTTCACAGAGTATCTTCAAACAGTCCAGCTTAGTAGTCCCTAAGAAAATACCAGTGATGGAAGACACAAGGGATTTAACAATCAAAGCAGTCGCTCAAACATTGACGACTTCCACGCAATGGAACTAAACCGATTCATGTATTTAGCAGAGCTCCGTCTCAGAAAATCATAGGTCTAAATCAGCCTGGTCTAAGGGCACTTATGAAAATTCGAAAGAAATCTCCATATAAGATCTTTGCGAAAGTGAAACCCAATCAGCTGCCAGAAACCGATTTTTAGAAGTATTTTTCAGTATATATCTGTCCTGTTGAGTTTCAGAGGAGTATTTTCAAATACCACGTGTCAATTCTATGGGGGAATCGACATGTCGCTGTCGTTGTCACAAGTGGTACTGGCGACAATCATCGCTTTTGATCGCTATATCGTAACGATTTCACCGAAATGGGGTGAGTTGAAAGAGTTTAAGGGAATGCGAATTTCTTGGGATAAGATACTATCGGTCTACCTGTATTTATTTAGCACTTGAGTTTTTGTTCACTTATTAACTTGCATCTTCTTTGCCAAAAGATGTTATTTTTGTTTATCTTCACCTTTGCTAAAGGAATCCAAGCTACAAATTTATTCAATCGTTCTAATAAGAAGTAGTCCAAGGTTTCTTTTTGAGAATTTATCTTCGCTTCTATGGTAGATCAAACTTTTCACTACGGTTTTTTGCGAGCTTTTTTATTTTGTTTTTATTTCTTCGGATGAGCCTAAAATGTGGAAAGGCGTCTGCCGTCATTTCTACTGGTTTCCTTTTTTACTGATTAGATAGTAGTAACTTTTGATGAACTATAAAACTATCTGTTTATAGGTGCACAGGCACTTTTTTAATTGACATTCGTTCAATCAAATCTTCCTGAACATGTCACAGAATTTCTCAAAAATCGTCCGATGTTTTATGTTTGAGAGGCCAGTATTTTTGTAGCTCTAAAGTATACGGTGAGTTTACAATATAATGATAACGCAATGCTGCGAAATCGATCGTTTGACAAAAATAGTTTTGAGAAATTCAATGAAGCAAAAATTATTTTAAAAAATAAACGGCCGCGTGACAGTATGTTGTGTCACCACTCTTCCGTATGCTGCTGAGCCTGTTTGTGGATGTAGTGTCAAACGTAGATCCAAAATCGGGAGTGACCTGTGAAGAGCTAGGAGTGAATACACTTATTTCTTTGTTTATTCTATAAAGGCTGTCCTTAAGTGTTTCATATCTACTGTGCGGGTCTCAGCATTTCTCACATTCGATTCGTTTTCGCACGTCTATCATCCATGAAAGTTTTAGAATTTTTACGTGTGGCTTTGGCTGCTGCTTGAGGATTTTCATTTCATATTGAATGTCGTAGAATGCTGGTTGAGTCTATTCTTCTTGGAGTCGTGAGATAGCTAGGCTAGAGCGTTCCCAGTTGTATTATAAAGTTTGTTTTTTTTCGGACAAGTCTGATTGCAATTTCACGACTCCGAAAGGATGAAGGGCTTGGTTGGCCCGGAGCAGAATCGAACTAGCACCGTGCTCGTGCTTTGACGATATGATGTCATCTGGTAGAACCAGTTTTCCTGTGTGGCAAGAGATTGAGAGAAAGTTTTATGTAGAGCAGATCCACTCCTACATCGATGAAAGCTGATAGGATTGGATTTGTTTTTTTTTTTTACGATATCAGTCACTTTTTTACTTTCGACAAAAGTTAGGACAATAGGCAGTGTATTCCTAACGCACCTCTGTGGTCTTCGACATGGCTTGAAAGTGGTCTATGCAGCGAAATCCTTGTGGAATTCCTTCTTGGTGAACTGGTTGTGCTTCATCCAACGCCTCGCGATGGAATAGTCTTTGTGAATAATAGCTTCTAGAGCACACTTATCAAACATATCAGGTGGTAGTTGCGATGGTGCTTTCGTTCACCCTCTTTGAGCAGGATGAAAGTGTGCGACGTCCTCAACTGGTCTGCGATGTTTTTCTTTTGGAGCTAAGATATAATATGGGTTGCGAGCAGTATATGTAGATTTAGGCTCCTTGCTTTAAAAAGGTAACCACGATAATATTTATATTTCGCAATTCTTTCCTGCAATAAAATTCGACGGAAGTCAGTCAGGGATCATTCTTGCCTTCTCTAAATCAATTAAAATTCATGTAAAACTCTCATTATTCAGGTACGGTCAATAATCTTTATTCAAGATTTCTATTGTTGCAATAAATATTCTCCAAGTAAAATTTCGTACAGGTTATGCGCAACTAGTACGAAGTCTTTTGAAGCATTCCATGGAATGACATTTTCTTTTACAACAGCTACATGCAGCTCTAAATCTTTTCGTATGTATTGGAGCGTATTTTCGATCATTGAGCTCCCTAATGACCTTGCAACAACCCACGTATTATCTCCATTCTTTCGGACCTCTGGTGCCACTTTCTTCAATAAAATGCATTGGTGACGGTGTCCAACCCGCATTCAATTCAATACTTGCAGACGTCCATCCTGGAGTCACTCATGCAAAAAGTTTTTTGCACACGCTTATTGTATTTTCTCCGTGCGTTCATCAGGCACGTCTGAGTACTCAATTGTAAGAAGAGCCGTCTGTACTTAAAATATCTGTGAAAAAGTGAGAAGTCAATCTTAACCTAAGTTGAAGTTATCGTCAGCTGACATGGTTTAAAACCAAAGCATTGAAATTTTTACCTTCAAAATTAGTGCGGAACGATATAAAAGAAAATAGGTTATAAATAGAAAAGTCGACGTTATCAAGAAGAAGATGAGTGGGAAAGATCGAAAGGGACGACAGTAATTCCACAAGAGAGTGCCTCGTTTACTCTTCTGATCTTCTAGAATATTCCTGAAAATTGGTAGAACAGTGACTTTGATTTTTACCATAAAAATTGCAGAGAATTTCACTAATTCATTGAAGCTGTCAATTTTTGCACCTATGGATCGATTTCTACTTCCACTTCTTCCATAATCGAAAAGTTACCAACCTCGCTCTCCTTTTAAGAAGCTCTCGGATCGTAACCAAATATGAATTGAGATGAAAACTACAGTAACCTAGGAGTTTTTTCTCCAAGAAGGCATATACCTTCCTTTATCACCCCGGAAAAAATCGAAAAAAATTTTTACAAAAGGCTCAAGTTTAAATAACTCTTAAAATAAAGAGAAAAACTATTAGTTTTATGTCGATTGACAAGCCTTTTTTATAGGCTTGTCGAGTTATAAACCTCCTAAATCCACTACGTTCCCTAGCGAAAATTATCCTGGGCTATTACGAAAGGGTCGCCATCGTTTGCGTAGAGTGCACAAAGTTCAACTTCTGAATTTGAGTTTACCGCTTTTTATTTGCTATAGGCATGATTGGTCGTGACTATCCCATCGAATTACCGCTACAAGGTATTCCAAAATATTTTGATAGAAGCAGTAGAATCCTATTAACTTCTCACAGCACTGTGTTTGGCAAGTGAAATGTAGAGAAAATTTAGCGCAGAGTAGCAATAGTCCACATCAAGATAGATTAGGCTACTTCATTCCTAAACATCTGTGATGTTCTCAACCTCATAAGTCTTCTTGAAGTCAAAAAATCACGGTTTACTATTGAAAACAAGCAGAATTTGTCGTGTTTAAATGGTGGGCGTGTACACGGCTCTCTTCGCCTTCACGAAATCGACGTAGTCGTTTATTGCATTAAAGACCAATAAAAAGTACGTCAGTACAAATGCTACAGGAATTTCGGGTATAAGGAAGAAAATTTGTCATTACACGACTACCATTTGCTACTGCTGCATAAACAGTACCTGAAAAGATAACCGCGTTTTTCTTTTGGGACAATTCTCTTCATATTTACTTCAAACATTAGTCGATGAGAGCTGCTTCGCTTATAGGTAAATGGCGATGTCATTCGAATTATTTGAAGTTAATCATTGGCTTTACCGTACTCACAGTATTTTGGAGTATTGTGCCAACTATTGGCTATGGTAAATATAGTACTTTTCACGGCAATACGTTCTGTTCACTGGATTGGCGACAGGTACATTTATTTTGTCATTTACGCTGATTTCTTTGTAGGCTTAGTGGCAGATTTTTTGTGGACTTTCCCAAAAACTCTAAAAATTTTGGGTAAGTACATGAAAAAGTCTGGTACAGCGCATGCTGGGTTCTTCAGCACGATTTTGTCAATCATATTTTAATGTTTTCTCTACAAGCTTTCGCGTTTGATCACAACAATGAAATAAAAAAAGCTGTCGGCGTTGATCAATCCCTGAGGGATGCATCGTGCATTCGACTTCATTAGGCATCGTTGGAGGTAATTGAATGCATATTTGGCCTTTACTCGCAGTGGCCTACCGATGTACCGAGCCAGTGCTGCTATCCTCCAGACAAATTTTGTAGCAATTTGCCGACCCCTGAGGGATGGAAGGCTTGGGCGCAGGGATCGATGCCATATGTGTGTCGCAGGGGGCCTCCGACAACTGAGCCACACGTGCCCATAATGAGATAGAAATAAAAACTATTCATCTAAGGGTTTCGTCAACTAGGATAAAAGCACTTGTTCAGTCTACCCTCCCTTCTTTGGAGTGTCATGGACGTATTCAAGCGGAAAAGGATAGTATTTTGAAATTGTTCCGTATTTTTTTCAGTCATAAGGGGCTTTAATTTGATCAAAAAAACATTTTTTAAAGAGGAAGAAACATGGAGAAATATGGTGAAAAAGATTATGCTAGTGTCGTGATCAGCAAGTATGTATTCAGTCACCTCTATGATGCTACGTAGTCGAATACGTGATACATTCCTAAGTGTTTGGGATAAATTCCGATTAATTTATCTTTACGCTTTAATTCTCCGATCACACTAACCATTTCCTCTCTCACTGTAGCCCTTTGTTCCATCATTGTGGCCGGTTGAGTGTTGTAGAGTGTTGAACTGCGATATAAAGAGAACATCGTTCTACCAGCACGGTCTCGCAAGTTGAGACGATGTGAAATATTTTAATGCGAAAGTTGAGACCATTCACGAGTAAATGATCACCATGAATTCTTGCCATACTGGCGACAACAGACAACAGTTACTAGCTAAAAGCAGTGGAAATTTGGAGAATCCCTACCACGGCTTTTGAGGTTTCACGGAAGGAAAATTTTGCCGTAACAACAAATTCGTAAATGTGGTTGAGCCGAAACGATGCTCCATTTACTATGTTTACTTTTTATTTTCTGCCTTCTATAACTTTTATGACAGGGTATTAAGGGAAATACAACCACAGGATTGCCGAGATAATTGCAAAACTCCAGATCGCAGGTGGCACTGATCGATAGAACTAGCTGAGAGACAGGCGAAACAAAATACTCGTATGGTGTGGTGGTGAACGCGTTACTCACCGGAAGGGACAATAGCGCGTTCGTTCCTCACCGCAAACACCTACGTTCCGGAGTCTTGCAAATATCTCAGCAATCTTGTGGCTCCATTTACTATTTTTTATTTATTTATGTGATTTTATAAACTGATCTTCTTAAGCCGTGATGTTACGTGCGGAATTCGTAACATCACGGCTCTGAGGAAGGCGAAGTCGCCGAAACGTCAGCCATCAATCAATAACGTCAAAAACAACGACAACGACAACGAAGATCTGTACCAACCTCGCGTCAGCTTAAGAAGATCAGTTTATAAGGTCACATAAATAAATATATCAACTATCTATGCCGAGGTTTATAGAAAGTCGGCCTTTCGAGTTATTTTTTTATTGTTTCACAATCAGATTTGCAGCAAACTCATTCACACTACAATTTGTGAAGCTTGAATGGTTAGACCAAGTCGAGTTATCAGTTTTTTTGTAATATTTTGGTACCACTGTGAAAACATAACCCTGATTCCACCTGTATCTGACCACGTTTTGCGTGTGAAATAAAATTGGGGTGAGACAGGCATAGTTATAGGAATTGAAAACTCAACTTCACCATATTATTCTTCATTACAGGGTGATTTTGACTCCAATTCTCCAGAATCTACTGAAGCAGCTCATCATTACATCGCGTTTCTTACGGCTACTTGCTTGATTTTCTTTCTGATTCCAGTCTGCATTGCGTCGTCGTTCTATTACAGTATAATCGACCACGTGGACAGGTGCTTCATCACTTTTCCTCTTCCTTTTCCCTTTCCTTTTGTTCTTATTCATAATTTTTTTCGTGTCAACCAATTGTAGGTCAAACTGTACTGAAGCACGCAAAGAAAACGAAAGCACTGAGACTGATTGCTACTGTTGGGCTCCGAAAGGAAATGTGGCTAAGGTAGGACTGGACTGATTTTCTAAATATCCTTATACCAAATTTAGCTTTTTTTAGGCCATTGCATTAAAGAAAGGTGGAATGTTTTTGAAATAAATGAGAAATGCCGCCCACAGCAATGTAGAGGTGCCCTGCAATACACATAGGGTCGATCCGGCCCTGCAATACATATAGGATCGATCACACAGGATCGGCGCTACAGGCTCACCAAGCCTTCCATTCCTCCGGGGTCGACAGAATGGTACCAGGCCTGTGTGGTAGGGTAGCAACACTGGTTCGACACATCGGTAGGCCACTGCAATGCAAATGCCAGATATGCATTCACTCATCTCCATCGATGCTAAATGAAACCGAAGGCATAGAGTATTGCTCAGGGATTTATCAACGCTTAGGGCCTCATCCTTTATTTATTATGCTCGACAAGTTCTCTATTATCTTATAACAACAATGGAATTTTTGATGGAAATCCGTTTCAAAGTTCCGAAGTGGAGTATCTCGCAAGTAGTGAGAGGTCGAAAAGAATAGAACACTACTTCGCACGTTTTTAAGGTGAAGGCAAATTATGACTTGTTGAATAATTGTCATATCAACCTAATTTATTGCTTAGAACAGTGATTGTTGGTCATATCAACAATTTCGTGACGCGATCAATCTACTATGTTGACCTTTGTTGGGCACGTCGTGTGTAGTAGTTTATACAGCGTTGAATTATTAATGTATGTTGAAGACTCTGATAATTGTTTAGTACAGGTCGGTCTCGGATGCCTGCTGGTGTCAACTGTGCCTTTTCTTGCCTATTCAATTGTATGTTTAAATCCTATGAAGTCGGATTTCAACAATGTTTCCTACATTGTGGTTCCAGTGATAATCAGTCGAATATGTCCACTATTGAATCCAATATTGTATATATGGTAGGTGTCAGAGAGAATCCATAACATTCAAGGACTTCTGAGGCAAAAATAGTCATTCCGTCAGTTCAGTGATGGCAGTGTGCCAACGTAGTGAGAAGACAACTAATTTGGTACTCGGTCTCTTCGTGTCAAGCACATTTTAAGCTTCACATTATAAAATCATCGATAAAATTTGTATCAAAGTCTCATTGTTCTGAATTGTCTCAGGTGCAATCCTTGTCTCGTTCCTATTAATGAGTTCATCGAAAAACAGGCGGCAAAACGACGACCTTCGCAGAAGACCTACCACGCTATAAATGCCATAGCTGAAGTTTCTGGAATGTCATTTCCGATTCTTACACCGGCCGGTACGCATTTTTGATTTTGTGTTGCTGTCAAATAGTAATTAACTATGGGAGAGGGAACATGGACTTTGATGGTACATGAGTCCGATGAGGAATGGAAGAGGAAAAACTAATGATATTTGTAGTGTTGGGAGGAACATGTTTTTTAGCGGCATTCTAGTATATCCCATTAAATTAGCACTTCGGTTTCATATTGACGACCTCCCAGGGAGTTCATCTGATTTTACATTTTATAATCTTCATCATATTACTGAAATTGGATTTTTGCAGTTCCTCGTCGACAGTTGCCAAAAATTCCGCCTAATTCAACGTCACCGAGTAGGAGTCATTTCGATGAGGCTCACGAAAGCACACCAATGTTGCACTGAAGAGTTTCATGTATCACCGAATTGTATATATAGTGCAAATAGTTCATGTATTCAGTGAAGATTTTTCTTTCGTACTTTTCTTTGAGAAGATGAATGAACAGCTCCGGAATTTCTGGAGAACCGATGGTAAATATGTGAAATCTCTGGAGATCCTTCAAGTAAATACTTGAAATTGCTTTGAGAAAAGAGAAAAGATATAAACATGACCTAAGCAGTTATATCAGCCACATAAGGTTTTTGGACGGTTTTTTCCTTCCTAGTCTTTCTTGTCTTTGGTTTCCTGCAAGCTTGTTGGATGGTGACATCTCTTCATCTCGACTCATTTGCTACATTCACGCAGTCCGATATCACATCCGTCACTCGGTTACTCGCAGCTGTTCATCCGTCAGAACTGAGGGTTCCACTGAGTCGTACTAGATATCTTTATTTATGTGATCTTATAAACTAATCTTCTTAAGCTGATGTGAGGTTGGTACAGATCTTCGTTGTCGTTGTCGTTGTTTTTGATGTTATTGATCGATGGCCGACGTTTCGGCGACTTCGCCTTCCTCAAAGCCTGGGTATTTTATACTAGAATATTTCTATTATTCGGTGGAAAAGAAAGGTTGAAGTATTAATGAAGATCAAACTTTCAAATAGACGCCATATTGAACAGAAAAAGACCACTCACCGTGATGTTACGTGCGAGACTGACCCACGCGTTGTTTTCGTGGAGTCGCGAGCAAGACACACTCCGGGGTCAAAATATCATTTTGAAATAGGGCGCCAGATCACGCGTGATAGTGAGGCATTCGTATTTCCGGTTCATCTTTGGATTTTTGAAATTTATCCAAAACGCCTCAAGAGGTCAACCACATACGACTATAATCAGCTGTTCTAAACTTCCTCATTGGAAGTCACGAAAAAGCGGCTCTGAAGAAGGCGATACTGCCGAAACGTCAGCTAGCGTTGTATTGTATTGTGTTTTTCTATGGAAGTAAATGTATGCTGTTTAAAAACCTCGCGATTGCTGAACAAGAAAACGACGCATTCATATTCCAATGCCGAGGTTAATAGAAAGTCGATCCTGGCAACGCCTCAAGAGTTCTGCGCGTTCTTCTAGGATTTGCACATTCACTTCAAAATCATCGCCGTTGTGCTTTTGTGCCCTATGCGTACCTAGAGGAGTGTTTAGACGGATTTTAGCATTTCCATCTAGATGTTCTTTTATGCGGATACAAAGTGGTCTACCCGTTTCCCCGATATATTCCTCGCCGCATGCGTTACATGAGATCAAGTATATTATACCTAAACTCATGCAATCCCTGTCTCTCCCGTTAAGACAGATCATACAGTTTTCTGAGCTGCACAAACGTTCATAGAGACGGTTTCGAACTAACTGGCTGCGTAGAGTATTGGGTGGAATGTCACTAAACGTTACATAATTTTCAAGACTTTTTCTTAAGCACTTTTTAATGGTCTGACTTACTTCATTTGATATGAAGGGTAGCTTAAAGGGGATCTTAGTTACGTCCGAAATATTATTTTGGGAAACTACCCAACGTTTTTCTCTAACCCGAGTGGCTTCCACTTCGTAGCCATTGGAAATGGCAATTTTTCGTGCCAGGTTTCGCGATTCCTTCCTTTCCGCTTCTGCTGTGCACACATTTTTAGCCGTACGAAACATATTTTTGATAAGTGCTTTTATAATGTGTGAAGGATGAGAGGAGACGCAGTGAACTAGAATGTTTTTACTACTTGGCTTGCGATACCATTTTGTTACATAGCCACTTACTGAGAGCTTTATTTGGATGTTTAAGAATGGAAGCCAGTTCTCGGTAGGTTTTTCTCGTGTGAATTTTATATACTCTGACTGTCGCTTTAACAATTTAAAGCACTCATCCATCTGTTCTTGTGTGGAACAGACGATGAAGCAGTTGTCTATGTATCGACAGTAGAGTAAGGGTCGGTGATCGAGAACTGGAGCTTCCACCTTAGATATGAAAGCGATGGAAAAGCTTGGTTCTAAACGCTGCCCCATCGCCAACCCTCTAATTTGTGCAAAATATTTTCCAGACCACCTAAAGATTGAACAACTAAGACACTGTTTTAAGAGGGTCATTAGTTACGCAATCGACAAGCCGTTCATTTTTATTTTCTTTCCATGCTCCACGAGCAACTCGAGAATGGCTTGCATTGCCGAGTCATTGGACACGTTGGTATAAAGTGAAGTAACATTGAATGACTCCATTATATGCGGTCTTTCGACGTACTAGATATCGTTCTTGATTGTCTTACCGTTTCTATGAAATGGTGGTACAATTCCTGGTTTGCTATCGATCAAATGTTGTGTCGTAGATCATTGGTCTCATGGTTTCTCTAATTTCGTAGCATACCGCTCTTTTTTTCTGGAATCTTTTATTCGTGGAACGTGGGAATTAAGAGTATCGTTTTGTTTTCACAAAAGGGAACTGATTGGTGGTATGGTCAAATCCCAATAAAGCATTTCATGAATATGAGGCATTCTCTGGAAATGAGCTGATAACCCTAAAAGTTCTAGGTTTAATTCTCAATCTCTAGAACAAAAATGAAAAACAGCAGCTTAAAACACTAAAGAACTTCTCGATTAAAGTCTAAATCTTGAAAATGATTGGAGATTAGGTGGAAGTGTGACACAATGGTAAGAAATGCAAATAGCGGTTCCTTAATGAACTACGTTGAAATATCCGATATCCCAAAGGAAGAAAAAAGAGCTGCTGTGTAGATGCGCAAGTGGAGTTAGAGTATGGAGAATAAATCCTTAAATATCAAACGAACAACGTTTGAGCTTTGAAAAAGTCGAAATATATTGGAATGCAGCTACTGTAGCACAATTGTACCGATAAACTCACATCAGTGCTTTAAGAAAAGAGCACTATGACTTTATGTTTGGTTGAAGCTTCTCCCGAGACACCTGGCAATCGTTCAAGCTAAGGCTACTTTTAACTTTTATCTTTTATGTATTTCGTTCGTTCTTCATTTCGCCGTCGAGTTCAGCTTAGCTTGCTTGGCTTTTCTGGGTTGTTGATGTTTCTTCTGTGCTGTTGCCAACGTGACATCATCTGCACCTCATCGCGATTTTGATGGTTATGTCGAAAAATCACATTCAAACTTGAAGAAAAAAGCCATCACTAAAATTTTTTGTAGTATGAAGGTTTTCGAACGCTTAAGAAGTAAAACGTAGGGTGTTCTGTGTTGATCGCTTCCGATCTCGGAAGGATGAGAGGCTGGGTGAGACCGGAGCGGGATCGACCCAACACCACGTTTGTGATGATCCGCACCACTACGAATGCACCATCCATCTCTTTTTAAAACTATTTACCGGTAATATTTTTATAAACTTGAAATCAAAATCGATATTTCAAAGAATGCCATCATGTTCTCCTGAGCGAAGTGTTATAAGAACTAAGACGTAAAAAAGTCGAAAATTTTCTCTCGTGGACGCCTGAAAACTAGGGTTCTATTTTGAGAGAATAAGAAAATTTGTATCCGATTGGTAACGATTGGCAAATGCTTATGGTTTTTGCTTAAACTAATTAAGTTGATTACTTTCTGAGATATGACGGTTTGAAGTCAATAATGGTGAACAATTTCGCGTCAACTGCATTGAAACCAATGCATCTCTGCTGCCGTGTTTCAATAGTTTTAGAATGTCTTAATCTATTTTCGGCAGTTTTACTAAATAAAATAATTTTGCTTCGTAAAATTTTGTGCTTCAGAGTGCAAAAATTTTGAATTTTTGAAATTTTTGCTTTATGCTATTCATATGGTGTGCTCAAATCAAATGCATAAAAATAGAAGCCAGTCGTTAACTACAGAGGTCGTAAACGTTGAGACGAACGAAGTCCCTTCAATGGGAAATGGTCGTAATTTATTACGTATATGGCCGTTGGTGAACAGATTTATCATAGTTTTACAATGGTGACGAAATTTTTATAAAAGGCCGAGGTATCGTTCATGTTAGCTCGACTCTTCCTCATAAATGTTCAGTTGGCTGTCGTCGTTACTTCTTGTTGGTCTCATCACTGTCGGCATAGAGGGCTGCTTTCCCGGTGAGAGCAATCGCTGAGTGTGTTTGTTGCCATTTTACGAACATTTTTACTAGTATTGAAACTCGGAATATAAATATGCATGCGGGAACTTAGTACGTCGACTCCAGCTTAAAATTGATAATGAGCATGTCCATGTATCTGCAGATTTCAAGGAAAATCTTCAAAAAAGTGCAGTATATCTACCCCTTAAAAGATAGTTTCTTGATTATTTGATTATTTGAATATCTCCTGCGGAAGAAGCAAAATAACTATTTTTCTTGTAGTAACTCCCAAGTCCAACTTTCTATTAACCTCGGCATTGATTGAATATATCTTTCTACTTCTGTTCAGCAAACACGAGGTGCTATTTTATTTCTTTATTTACGCACAAGCTGACGTTTCGGCGGATATCGCCTTCCTCAGAGCCTGGAAGGGTCAACTTGACAGCAATCTATTCGTCCAAACACCTCCATAACCAAACAGAGAAAACGCTAAACCAAGATTTCAATCACATTTAGCATAGCTCTGCACACTCACCGCTTTCTATGAGTCTTCCACCGAGTATGTCGCGTGAGGACCGACGGCGCCGAATTCACATGGAAGCGTAATGTACTCCTCCCATCAGAATAACAGGTTTATATACTGTCCAATATCGCGCGTGATAACGAGGCATTCCTCCCTGCGGTTCATTTTCGGATTCTTGGAATTAATCCAGAATGCCTCTAGAGTTTTGCGCGCTTGTGTTCTCGATTCTTGCGCGAGGATTGTAACCCTTACTTCAAAATCTTCTCCGTTATGTTTCTGCGTGATATGCGTACCTAGTGGAGTACTTGGCTTACGTTTGCCGACTAGGTGTTCTTTTATACGTACGCAGAGTGGTCTACCCGTTTCGCCAACATTTTCGTCCCTGCACGCTTTACAAGAGATCAGATAGACTGTACCCGAACTCATGCAGTCACCGTCTCTACCATTGGGACAAATTATGCAATTTTGCGTTGCAAATAGACGGTCGTATAGGCGGTTACGAACTAGCTGGCGCCTTAGATTACTTGGTTGTATTTCTAGTATCATTACCGAATTCTCTAGACTGGCCCTTCTTAAACAGCGTTTTATAGTTGGACTTACTTCATTTGAAATGAAGGGCAGTATAAACGGGACCTTGTTGTCGCTAGAGTTATCGTTGGGGTACCTGTGGTTTCCTCTACACCTATCTCGAGCTACGGTTTCGTAGCCATTAAAAATGGCTATTTGCCGCACCAAGTTCTGGGATTCCTCTCTCTGTTGTCTTCCTGTGCACACGCTGGTAGCTGTTCGATACATGTCTCTCACAGGCGCCCTCTTCGTGCGAGAGGGATGAGAGGAGAGGTAATGAACTAGGATGCTTTTACTATTTGGCTTTCGATACCACTTCGTAATGTAGCCTTTTTCTGATAGGCTAATTTGCACGTTCAGAAATGGAAGCCAGTCTTCTTTTGGTTTCTCTCGGGTGAATTTAATATACTCTGACTGTGTGTTCAACAACTCGAAACATCTGTCGATTTCTTCTTGCGTTGAACAAATGACCAAGCAGTCATCCATATATTTACAGTAGAGTAACGGACCGAGGTCGATTACTGGCGCTTCCACCTTAGACATGAATGCAATGGCAAGGCTTGGAGCCAGTCGTTGTCCCATTGCCAGCCCTCTCATTTGTGCGTAACACCTCCCGGACCATCTGAAGATTGAGCAGTTCAGGCACTCCTTTAAGAGTGTCATCAACTGCTGAATCGAGAAGCCGTACATGTTTATTGCTCCTTCGTGTTGTATAAGGAGCTCGTTTATGGCTTGCATAGCGGAGTCATTCGACACGTTCGTATACAGGGCAGTGACGTCGAAGGACTCCACCACGCGCTGTTGGGTCGCGCGTTACGTAGACGATCCGGGAACATTTGGGTGTTCGTTAGATGAGCTGGAATGTACTTCAAGAACTGAGTAAGTATTAGGGTTATTAACCACGTTATCCTATCCGTTGGCCCGTCTACGCAGCTAATAATAGGTCTAACCTTAAACAACGAAAACCTTCCTTTGACCCTTCCAAGCTCTGAGGAAGGCGAAATCTGCCGAAACGTCAACTTGTGCGGAAATAAAAAAATAAAATAGCACCTCGTGTTTGCTGAATAGAAGTAGAAAGATAGCTATTTTTCATTTGAATAAAATTTTGCTGCTTCGCTAAGATTTCCTTTTTACTTCCGGAACCTTGGAAGCCGTGTTATGGCATTAGCAAGCCGTCGTCGCCACTTTTCAGCCAATGATGTGGTTGCCGGAATAGTAGTGACTCCTGGAACAGATTTACTCAAAGCTGGCTTTTCGAATGGAAATGACAAATTCCTTAATAGATCGATCTAGAAGATAAAAATTTGCTTTATATCGAACTTTAAAACCTGGCAACTAGAAAAACGGTAGTATCAGCTACGATGAAGAAGAAAACCGTTATGGTATAAAAATGGGTGCCTAAATCTAATGATAATGTGAAATACAACCACAGTGAGGCTGAAACACTTGCAAGACTTTGGATCACAGGTGTCTGCGGTGATCACTGAACTCACTATCAACGTTCCGGGGACTAACGCATTCACCGCCACACCATGTGGCTGTTTTGATTCGCCTTCCTTTCAGCTAGACTTCTACCTAACGGCACCATCAGCAATCAGCCGTCAACGGGATTGATCTGGTCTCTGGTCATCTGGAAAACACAAGTCGGCAAGAAACCAAGTTAAGCTGAGGTTGTAGCTGAGAGATTAGAGGACAAAACTAGCTGAGAGAAAGGCGAAACGAAGGACTCGCCTGGTTCTGTAGTGAACGTGTTAGCGCGCTAAAGGATAACACCGAGTTCAGTCCTCAGCGCAGACGCCTGCGGTCCAAATACATCAGCATCATTGTTGCTGCATTTCGCATGATACCTTGCCACGAAAAATTACAGCAGGAAGTAAATGAAAGATTAATATCCTAATCATAATGTTTTAAAAAAGCAATGTTCCACTTTTTCTGAACATACGGTCTGCAATTAAGGAAATGCCCCAGTTTTCTTGAGAGTTTCCCTTGACTCCGTAGCTGCTTCTCAATTAAGAATGTATGAAATTTTAAGTCTTTTATCCAGGTTTGATTCGCTAAACAACAGAGTTTATACAGGGTAAAAAAATCAAAAACAAAGTAAATACTGCACCGTTGTATCAAAAAGCGGAATGTGTTCACTACGTCACCACCAGGCCGTGAGCTGCACACTTCGAGAGATAAAATCACGGGCCATCAACAATTTCCACAAATGATTTATTAGCGTTTGAGAGTTTATGAGACTTCGCAATTAGCTTGAAACAGCTGAAATAAAAGCTTTTCAACTCAGCCGAACGGGAACATGCACTTTTCCTGAAGACATCTTTTTAAATGTGAATGTAGATAAACGTGTGCTTTCTGTGTGTATGATTAAAGCGACCCAATTATTTAGGTGGAGTTGAAGAGTTCGAGTACATTGAAGATCCGGTATTCAATATGGATTTGAGCCCACCAGTTGGTTGGACGTATTTTCCACCTAAGGTAATGTCAACTACATAAATGGTCTTCTTTTTCGAAGACAGAAGCGCTGAAATCAATTATTAACGGATGTGGTTTCGTACAGAGCAGCGACAACTATCAGATCTGGTACTTTGTCGGCCAATCGAATGACAGCTTAATCGCCAAGCAAAGAGCAAACAGTGAGATAACAGCCTCTGTTAGTCATTTTTCGCACTTTTTTCACCCTTCTAAATAACCATTGCGAAATATGGTGCACGAGATAGGATACCCAAACACGCTGAACAGTTCAAAAAAAATATGAAAAAAATCTGATCTTCTTTAGCTGATGCGTGGTTGGTATAGGTCTTCGTTGTCGCTGTCGTTGTTGTTGTTGTTGCTACTGTTGTTCTTGTTGGTCGATGGCTAACGTTTCGGCGATTTCGCCTCCCTCAGAGCCGTGATGTTACGAGTGGCACCAACAATACCAACACCAACGGCAATAACAACAACAGCGACTACAAAAACCTATATCAACCTCACATCGTCTAAGGAGGATCAGTTTATAAGATCGTATAAATAAATGTATCAACTATCTATGCCGAGATTTATAGAAAGTCGGCCTTTTGATTTATGAAGAAAATCGTTCGAATTTCAATAGAAATCAACTTGATGATCAGAGAAAAAACTCGTCAAACAGTGGACTCTGAAATCGTTCTCGTCTGGCGCCAACGGTATATTTGTCCAAAACATACTAGAGAGGACAAATCTTCTTCTGCGCATCGCAATTTGGCGAACAAACAAATCTACAGCAACAATGTGCTTGTAAAGTTTTGGGATTACTTTTTCAATGTTTTGTCATTTTTTTCGGAAAGCTTTGAAAAGTCTTGTTTCCATTTCATATCTATCACTTATAAAGCATTCTTTGGGCTCGTGTAGAACAATGCTCAGAGATGCCTAGCAATGCACGCGTGGGCCTTTGTTTGAACACCTGCTCCAAGCTAACTAACGTTTAATCGCTTCAGGGCCGGATAATCGGTACATAGTTTACCTGAGAATGGGGAAGGTACTGATTCGATACACCTTTAGTACTTTGTAAGTCATTGTGCGAGTAAAATATGCACTCAGCCACCTCTATGCTGCTAAATACTATTTAACATTCTCACGGCGGGCAACAAATGTTGGTGCCATAATGGTTGACGGAATTGGCCGGTTCGGCAGTTACAGGTCTCATTTAATTTCTGGTGGTTTATTTTAAAAAACTGAACTTTTCTCTCTACTTCTTATTACCATCTGACAGCTCGTGGAGCACAAATCTTATGTTCAGCGTTGAATGGGAAAAGCTGCATGCTGCGCTCAGAATAAAGGATAAAGGTATAAGGCTCTTGGCGTTGATCAATCCCTTAGAGATGCACCATATATTCGACTTTATTAGGTATCGTTGGAGGTGACTGAATGCATACCTGGCCTTATAACTCCCGGTGGCTTGCCGATGTATCGAGCCAGTGTTGCTATCTTTCCAGACAAGTCTAGTACCAATTTGCTAACCCTGGAGAGATGGAAGGCTTAGTGGGCCATGGGCGCGGGGATCGATTCGATGTGTGGCTTGGATGCGCCTACGACCACTGCGCCACACGCGCCTTGTAAAATTAAATGAAGTAAATAAAGTAATCTAGGTAAAAATATAAATAAGAGTAAAAGTAACGACGCTCATCTTATGTTTAACGGGTCCCAACGCCACCTTGTGAGGAACAGCCGAAAATCACTGTAAAGACTGAATTTATACAGCGTTTATCAACCATTTATAGGAGTAAAGCCGGAGCAATCGGCGTTAATCAATCCGTTGCTGGGTGCACTATTCGTTCTAACACTATTCATAGCAGGTGTCTATGGTGGGGAACGAACGCGCTATTGCCCTTTCCGGGGAGTAACGCGTTCACCACCACACCATGCGGGTCCTTCCTTTCGCCTGTCTCTCAGCTATTTCTTTCGATCTTTGCTGATCTTTTCTTTTCTTTTTCTTTCGATCTTTGTCTGTGATTGCTGTGGCAAAAAGATCGATAGAAATAGCTGAGAGACAGGCGAAACGAAGGACCCGCATGGTGTGGCGGTGAACGCGTTACTCCCCGGAGAGGACAATAGCGCGTTCGTTCCCACCATAGACACCTGCGGTCCAGATTTTTGCAAATATTTCAGCAACGTTGTGGTTGTATTTCGCTTAGTAACCTGCCATGAAAATTATAGAAGGCAGAAAACAAAACGTTAAACACTATTCATAGCATCGCAAGGGTGACTGCATGAAAATTGGCCCATAAAACGTTTTAGCATGACTCTCTGATGTATGAAGTCAGTAACAGAGATCGGTGTTCTTTATCCTCCTAGAGATGTCAGGTGCCCAGCCGAAGCGATGACGAGTTTTGTTAACGCAGAACGGTGGTTCGAACCAACGATCAGCAATANATGGCAAGCCAGGCCTCCAACTGTTTAAAAAGGCAAATGTTACATAAATTTGGATAAAAAGTAATGATGCACGTGCTCGGCTAAGCGACCATTTCGGTAGACGTTGTAAGCCCCTTTTCTTTTCACGTAAATGTAACATGTCATATATCATGGCATACATTTATCAACGCAGATGTATTTATACAGTGTCTATCCTGCACCATCTCATGGGCGCATGTGGCGCAGTGGTTGAAGGCGCACTGCGACACACGCGTGGAATCAAATTCCGCACCCGTGGCCCACCAAGCCCTCCATCCCTCCGTGGTCGGCAGATTGGTACCAGACTCGTCTGCGAGAATAGTAGCACTAGCTAGATATATTGGTAGGCCACCTCGAGTCATTGTAAAGGCCAAATATGCAATCAATCACCTCCAACGATACTTAGTGAAGCCGAATGCATGGCGCATCTCTCAGGGATTGATCAACGCCGAGAGCTTTATCCTTTTTATATTTTCATCTTATTTTAGTTATTATTACATGACCCCATCACATTTATCCCAGCTCGCGAATCTCAGCACTTCTTGCATTCGATTTGTTTCACTGTGTCCGCGAAGGTCCTCGAACTTTGAGTGCGCGTTCCAGTGCGGCTTAAGGAGTTTTTGTTTTCGTCACAAATGCCGTTGAATGATTATCGAGTCGATTCCTCGTGGAATCTTGAGATAGCTGTGCTAGAGCGTTCACGCGTTCGTGTACCAGAAAGTGACAACTTATCCCAGAGAAGTATTGTACCAATTTACCGTCCTCCAACGAGATGAGAATCTTTTTGGAACAGAGGGTGATCGAATCAGCGCTTGGATGGGATCAGCCGCTGTGTCGGGTCATTACCGCCGCGGTACATGTTGTCATTTATAAGTTACTGTGTTGTACATATCTTAGTTTCTAGATGATTGAAGCGTTGGCTGCTGCAAATATGCCAGTTTACGGTGTTGAAGTTGCAAACGACTATGCACCAGTTCAAGTGAGTTTCAAAGTAGATAAAACCAGATTGCACTAAGAGAAAAAAGATGCGATAAGTATAAAACCCATTCATATACTTTCTTAGATAAATAAGCTAACATGGAGTTTTTAGGAGACTTTTATTCGGCTGGTGTTTTGGCGCTTTCACCTTCGTCAGCCCTTTCATGACAACCTTGTGTTAGCTCTAGCAGGCAAAAAAATATTGATCAGTCACGCCGTGATTAAAAGACAATCAGATTATAAAATACGAAAAACATAAATATAAAAATATAAAATAGGCAAACCGTAGTTTGTTTTTTGCGCCTTGCCGCTTTTTATTTATTGCTTTCCGATTGAAAATCCCACTAGCAACACAAGAGGAGCTGGTCCGCGTTATGGAAAAGTCGAAGGTGGAGCTGTGACTCAGACAGCACCAGGTGGTATGGGCACAGGTAAGTCCGTTTTTGTAGGTTCTTTAAATCTTCCAGTAAAAATGTATTCGGTTTCTTTTTGTCTCAACAAATAATAGTGAAGGTTAACCACCACCATCACCACGTTTGTCGATCCCGTCGAAATGAGCCGCTGTTCACATCAGATCTGTGTTACACTAACTATTCGCCTTTTTTGCACGTCTAAAAAGAATTTTAGCTCTGGTATTGGCTTTGTAAGGTTTCCTCCGCTAAACGCTGCTGACATACTGAGTGTTATGATGAGATGCACTATATCGCCCCAATTTCATTGCGATAAAAGCTGTTGATAAGAGAAAATCCCACTAGAGGGCGGAAATTTTTACCGGTTTTTTAGACAGAAATAGCCTGTATCACTTCTTTGTGACCTGTACTGATCCCTTAATCACCGACTCACCAAATAAGTACTGGCAAACTTCATTAGTCTCTCCAGAACTGCTCTCTGGTTATTCAGGACTTTTCTTCCAGCACCAAGCAATCTCTCTCGGTCCTCTGGCGTTGGCAAATTGATACCAGACGTGTCCAGAAAAAAATAAAAACACTGATTTGGCACAACGGTGAACTACCACCATTCATCGCACATGCCATATATGTACTCAGTCACATCTAAAATGCTCTGTATTCAGTTGAATGCATCGGGACTTTCCAAGAAGACGTTGGTCTCATTACGTCTTCCGTTGGATTAATTCCTAAGAGGCCATAAATTTCAGGAGACTTCGTGTTCACAGCCTACACGAAATTGGTGAGAGTGACGTTGAGCAATGCAGCCGGCAATCGCTACACATGGAACATCGTCAAGAACACTTTCATGCAGAAACTCTCTCTCGGTTTCAATGCACGTTTCAATGGCGAGGTAACCATCAGCAGAAACTAGATGATTAGTTTCCTAACTACCTAATTATTCACTTTCACTTAGCATGCTACAATATTTATTTGAATTGTTACGACATAAAAGTGAAGCCTGGTACTAATGAGATTTGCAAGGAATCAGACTTTTTACTAACCAAAACGAAATCTTGTTGTGATACTCGGATTGTGGAAGAGCGAGAAGAGAGACGACGGCGAAAACTATATACGACGTTGAACAAATTGTTAGAAGGCTATATATGGAAATATTTTGAATTCAACGGATGGGATCTATTTATCCGTTCGTTTCAAAATCTCGTTCCTCTCCTGGATTGAATAAAAAGTGACAGACACATCAACATAAAAACAAATAACTTTACTACAACTTGTTGCCTATTTTCGACAAGTCGAGATGTCATGCGAGACTGTCCATACTCAGAAAAAGATACGCCGACAGCTTCTATGATAAAGGATGGATAGAAAGATATAGATAAATAACGATGATAAAAGTCTTGCTTCCAGTGGAGTATTCCTCCAGATTTTAAGGAAGTCGAAAATCAATGATATTGATCCCACTAATTTATTACAGGAGTCCGATCAATGTTGATCCCGCTTTAAGCTCTTGCCGTTTTATAGGAGCACGGTACATTTTAAATATGGTGCTATTTGTGTCTTGAAGCAAAATATTGCACCTGGCTAGCGTTCCTGTGGATTAAAAACCCAGTTGAGACTCTGAGCGTTTCTTCACTAACTCTTTTGACCATCTCCTCTCATATGAAGCAAATAACAAAACAATCACCCACATATGCATAGTAGAATAATGGCAATCGATTACTGCACCCTTAACCTTAAAAGTAAAGGCAGTGAGATGCCTTAGTGTCAGTCGCTCTCCTATTGCCAGCCCTTTCATTTGTGCGAAATACTTCACTCACCACCTAAAGGTTTAGCAGTGGAGGCTCTTCTTTTTGAAGTTTTAAACTGATGAAACGAGAAGCCATATGCGCTTATTGGTCACTGGTTTTGCATAGGAGTTCGGCGACGTCCAGGATTAGTGGATTCATAAGGCATAATAATATAAAGGGCTGTAACGTCGAAGGAATGCATAATGTACGCGCTGTTGGGAAACGTGTTTTGCAGGCGACAAGGAATATTTGGGGGTTTGTGAGATGGACTGGAATTGTGTCTCAGCAACTGTATGAGTACTACGTTTATAAACAATGCTATTCTAGCCGTAGGTTACCGCTATCTATCTAAACAATTGATGCTTAATCTAACCGTGAACAATGAGTTGTCGGCATATGTAAGGTGATCAGTGCATACTAACTTGTAGTTTCCCTATGAGCTGTGGTGAACGACTGCGCAATGTAAGCAATACGAGAGACCATTATGCAACACGAAGAGCAATATTCATGCATGGTTTCCCAAATCTGCTGCTCAAGGCCTTTTTAAAGAAGTGCCTAAGCTGTTTAATCTACAGAATGTTTGGGAAATCTTTCACACAAATGAAAGGATTGGCTATGAGACAAACACCGTCTCAAAGTCTTGGCATTGCCTCTATATGCCTCTGTATCTGGCATGAATGCACCAGCAATCAGTTTTCAGCCAGGACCCCACTGCGAAGATGTCATGCTTTATCATTGGCTCCACACAGGAGCAAATGCAAAAACGTTTAGAGTTGTTGAATGAACAGTCAAAATACTTGAAGAAAACCGAAAAAAAACCTGGCTTCTATTTCTGAACGTTCAAATGAACAGGCACTTTAAAGAAAACTACTCTCAGCAGTGTTGAACGTACTGCAATCCGTGCATAAGGTCGAGCACGTATTGATAACGGTTACTAGACAAGGAATCAAACTGAGAAAGTATTGGAGTATGTACGGTATGTGGGGACAGACAGCATGAATTTTGAAGTACCTAAGAAAGTGCCAATAGTTAATGAATTTTGACAAAAAGAAAGTTCACCAAACCTACGATAAGGACAGCTGTTTCAGCACAGTGAGTTACAGTGAAGCCTGGCAGTGGTTGTCATTCCTTGATTTTACATGCCTCCACACCAGATTGTTTCAAAACAACTGGCATTTGAATGAATTCGCATTTCTTTCAGCGATTCGTTTTATTCTAAGGGTTACATCAGCAATTAGCCCTCAATGTGAATGATACGGGAATCGCAAATCGGTATTAAACCTAGTTTTACTGAGGCTGTTGTTGAAATCATAATATATAACTTTTATTTTTTGCCCATTATCTTTTTCGCAGCAAAGTATTTTGTGAAATACAATCACAACAAAAATTTATACACTGTGATTTCGACTACCACCTAACGGTTTACTGGCTCATAGTGGCTGGGAGGTGTTCCTGAGTGTCGGGCTGCGATGTACAGAGTGGGGATTCATCCTCCTGGCAGGGTTTCCCAAGCTGGGAGGGTGTACCACCGACCTGATATCAAACTAGTCGCATGGTGTCTCCCTCTAATCCACAAGAGCTGCCTGTTGTGGTGAAGACCTGGGGCAGACTTTGACCAGGCCGACCTCGGGATTCCAGGGACTCACAGTGGCTTAACCACTAAATATTAGAAAAATGGAGACAAACAACGCTGGGGCCCGCACAACCAGTGAGGACGGGCCGTTCAAGTATCAAGCAAGTATCAAGATTTCGATTGCAGCCTAGTTTAGCTGGGTTCAATGCCGAAAGGTAGAACGAGAGACTCAGTGGTGCCGTGACCAACATGTGAGGATCACTAAAGGGTAACCGCGGTTCAATTTGACCTGGATCCAAGTTTTGCAAATATCTAGGCATCATTTTGAATAACCTCGTTCAAATATTAGCATGGGTTTAACAAAATGCGGGAATAATAGGTATTATGTTCTACGAATTACTGGAGCTGTAGAAAGGATGAAATGCTTGAAAATAATCTGTTTCATGTGGAAGCGCCATGCATAAGACTCCATAAAAAATTATATGGTGACTGAAAAGTTATTTACCGGGAATCGGAATCTAGGTGACACCTACGTGGAATGTGTGACACACGCGAGACGCCAGAATATTCGATAATGTTTAGAACATTGTCTGTGGTACTATTAACGCTGAAGATTTTTGTGAACCATCAATCGTTTCTCTTAACGGAAAGCTAATTTTGCTCCTTTTGGCACGTTGAAAAGTATAAACACGCTTTGTGTCTGTAGTTACAAGATTGGGAAACTAGAATGTTCATAATAAACCGATTAGACGGTTTGAAAAATTTCTTTTGTTATCATTCAGTTATATTTTAACAGTGGAAGCCATTCCACTGGTTGAGAATCCAGGATAAAATACGGCGTCAAAGCATTGTCAGCAACATGGCGTGGATTTGAATCGAGGATGAACTCCAGTAACCTGAAGAAGATGTTTTGGTTTAAGCGGTTGTTAAACAATGTTGTGATGAACAAACGAGAGCGAATTGCTTCGTCCAAGTGCAACATCATCGCCCAAATCCTTTTTAAGTGCACCTGAGATAATAGGTTTTGCTGATATCTCAGCATCGTCGTAGATGACAGAATAATTGGATTTCAAAGTAGATTGGAAATAATGTGGGATTTCGCGGGGTTGACTTTCGTATTTTGCAGCATTCAGTGAAAGCAAACTTTTTTTCTAAAATTCTGCAATGGTCATTCTGCACTCTTAAAAAAGCTGACATTGTAGTTAATGCTGCAATATGGAAAGATGAAAGATAAAGCGTGTTGCAGTATCAATCCCTAAGAGCCGTCCCATGCATTCGACGACAATGTGTATTGCAGCAAAGGAAGTATGCAAATAGGGTCTACAAAGTGACTTGCGGTAGAGAGATGTCAATTCTTTTATCCTTGTAGGTAAATATGGTAACAAATTACAGACTTTAAATACTGAAAGTATGTGAAATATGAGAGGTTTGGTGAGCCTTGGGTGTGAAATCGAACCAACTGCGATTCACTGTGTATTAAGCAACACCTTGCTACACGCTCTCTTGGACCATGGACCGAATGTCGTACCGCTGATCGTCGAGTGACACGCGCGGTTGCCGGTAAATCTTCTATTTTTCTCTGGCGCGTTCGAGAATAGCCCAGTATGTTCTACTCGCCTAAGGACACGTCAAGCACCACTTCTTTCGTCTTGCGTTTTCGTGAAGAACTGTGACAACGGGGCTCCTATCCATGTGTCGTCGTTCATAGGCATTATGAGCCCGGCCCACCTTATTCTTATATAAAACGAAAAATTGCCGTATAAAACGATGTATTTGGTTTTTGAGCGTCAGCATAGATCGGAGCTTCAAATCTGTCCTCTCAGCTGCATGTTATGGGATACTTCTAACATTACTCTTTCGAGTGCAGCCTTCGATAATGTTAAACTTTCATCCTGTTTACGTTGCGACCAGGTTTCTAATGCATACATTAAACCACGTTGTACCATTGAGTCGAAAAGTCGGCACGGAGTCGGACGTTCCTTGTTCTCCTCACTACATCCTCGGTGCTTTTGAAAGCTCCCCAAGCCGCTCATTTCCTTCTGTTCAACTCTGGAGCTAAGTCGCCCATCATGCTGATTTCTCGACCTAGGTAGGCGTAACCGCAGCATTCAAAGGTATTCGTTCCGTTGAGCATGAATGATGAATACGAAACCAATCCGTTGCTCATAGTTTTTCTGAGATTTAGTCAATGATTCATCTTTCCACAGACGTTGTCAAAGCCGGAAATCAATCGTTCTGTGTGGCTAACGCTTACTGTTATAACAACGGCGTCATTGGTAGACGAAGATGGTGTAATTGGTCGACATCGATTTTCACTCCCATGCTCTTCCAATTCGGATAAGGTTCTCGAGGATGGCGGTAGACAAGTTTCGTGAGATGATATCGTCTTGCCTAATCCTTCACTTACGTCGGTTTTAATAACATTATATGATAATTTGGTTGTGAAATATAGCCAAAGAAAAAATTTTTTGTTCCCAGTAGGAACACCTTTGCCATTCAGGGCTTCCGTGACCGCTTCAATCTCAACTGAGTCAAAAACTCGATCGGAATCGA